GGTGGCTACCTGCTCATCAAGAAGCAAAATCAGAAAATAAAATAATGAAACTAAAAAAAAATACAGAGGTATAGAAGACTATGATAAAAGAATACAAAATATAAAAAAAAAAGGTAAAGAAATATCAAAAAAAGAAAATAAAAACAAAACAGAAAATTTGCTAATCTTAATGCCACAGTTATAAGCCTGTGAGTAGCTTGAAAAAATTATATACTGACTAGACAAATTAGTCTCTACTTCTATTTTTCTCTAAACTAGTATACAAAAATAAAACCCAATAGGAAAAACTTCATCGATCGGCTTAAGGTAGAGAGATCAAAACAGAGTCTTGGAGCATCATTTATACGGATATCAATTGTATTCAAGGCACGTGTATACACGTGTTTGTTGTCACGTTCTGATTTGGAAGTTAAACAATGCCAACTTGTTTGGTACACATGATGTCAATCATTTGGAGGGGTAAGCTAAAACACCCACTTTTTACAAAAATTTTCTCAAAAAAAAGTGGTAGGCCAACGAGAGTATATGAGATTCTTCTTGTAAGTTTTACAGTTGTATAATTCAGCTTCTCTGTTTCTACTACTTAGGAGTGCACTTTTGGCTACTTCTACAGACTTGTTCCCAAAATAAACCTTCTGGTTTGGATGCCGAATACTTTAGAGAGTCCGGCAAAAAAAAAATTTGACCCTAAAAAAACTGTCTGTTCTTTTGGTGCCCGCTCCTTAGTATTTCATGCCTAGACAGCTTAGACATCATTGATAACAAGCTGCTCCTACTTATAGGACCAAGTTTTAATATCAACTTCTTTGCTTTTTTATACGTTTTGCTATAGTTCAGTTTTTGTTATTGTTGACCAGAGAATCGTTAGGAAGAGTTAATTAAAAAGAAGCAAAATTTTAGGTATTTTGAAATATACTAAACTGATTTTAATAGTTTAACTATTATTGTAATTAAAAACATTTTACAACTTAATTTAAAAATAAATATATTTATCTAATAAGTTTTTAAAAAATTATTTTAATTAATTATTTTAAAAAATAACCAAACTTATATATATATTTAATATATATATATGATTATCAATATTATTAAATATCTATTTTTATTAAGACAAAAATTAAAATTTTTATTATTAGATAAAAATAAAGAATTAAGTTTAATATTAGGCAAAATTTATAATAAAATTTAGCAAAAAATTTTTTCTTAAAACTCTAAAGATATCTTTATTAATAAAATTTTTAAATATAATCAAATTTTAATATTTTGCTTTATTTTTATTATATAAAAAAGTAATCTACATATGATCTGCATATTAAATATAATTTTAGATTTTATTAATTTTACTATTAGTTTGTATAACTTTGTACACTATATATTAATATATAAATATAAAATCTCTTATTTTAAATATGATGATTTTTTAAGCAAACAAAAATTTATATTAAATTTTATTAATTACTATAACATAGTAAAATTTTTAAATTTATTTATATTTAGTTAAAATTAAAATAGTTATATAGTAAAATTGTTTAAAAAATCTTTTATTAAAGAACAAAAATAGTTTTTTATACAAATTTTAAGAATAGGGTTTGGGCCCTATAGCTTAGTGGTTAAGCTGCCAAACTCCCACAGACTAGATTAATGGTTCAGGTCAAGCTGAAGGCAAAATTCTAGGATTTTTGACTTCTGTAACTCAATAGGGAGCCATAATCAAATGCAAAACTCTGTGGTTAAGTTCAAATGCAAGTATATAACTAAAAAGAAATTCTTAGAAGGAGGTTTAATCGTGAAGCAGTAATACTATGTATGCCAGGTCATGGAAGGTTCTGTTATATGAAGTTGCACATGTTTGTCCTTAATTAGGAGTAACTAGAACAGCACCAACATCCTCAACAGTTGGAGTACTTGATTGAAAGAGTAATATAACAGTAACAAAACTAGAATATAAGAAAAGTAGTGAACACGAGGATGACTTGTAGTAAAAAATTGGTCTATCTGAAGTTTAGAAGCATCTTTGGCCTCAAGCCACTTGGCCTATTAAGGAAGAAATCTATAAGAACAGAACAAGAAAGCTGAAACTCAGAATATATAATAAAAACTTGAAATGGCTGGATTCAGACTGATAGTACAATTATACAAATCAGGCTTGTATATCAAAAATTAACAAGAAATATCAAACACTAAAATTGAAAGTATTATAGAATACAAGCTACAACTAGGTCTAGATCTCTAGCATCTTGTAACCTAAAATATCAAGGTACTAAAACAAAATAGCTCAAACTATGGAAGAAAAGTAATATGAAACCTGCAATCTGAAAGTTATGGAGTAACCTATAATGCAATATAGTGAGCCTGCACTAATATACAGAAGTACCTACCCAATATAATAATGGAAATCAGCAGCATACTAACTAAAACTAGGTGTTAATGATAAGGCTTAATCTGAGCCAGCATGAGTTTTTCTTTGTGATACTACCTGGGCAGACTAGCTGAAGATAACCAAGATTAGAAGTAGCCCACATAGCTACAAGACCATATTCCAGAAGAGACTATCAAATTTGGAAGCTTAGGTATAAGTAGTTTGAGAGATATAGAAATGATATTATAGAGAAATATATCAAAATAGGACTAGTAAGGAGTGGAAAAATACTGGGTGAGTGCTATCTATAAGGATGTACTGCTCAAGTAAATATAGATCACAGATAATGGATCAGTGGTTAAATAGCAAATGGGAACACTTATTGCACAAGTGACAGTTTCAGCCAAAGTATATATAACCAATAAAATCAAGGTATAAAAAATTAATCAACTTTAGTAAAAGATTTTAAATTACTAGTAATTAAAATAAGACTTTTAACAAAAGATTATAAAATAATAATCTGATATAGTTGATCTTTAGTATAAATAGACATATAATTATTATACAATTATAATATATATTTAAATTAACTATTTTGAACTAATTCAAGTAATTTTATAAATTATTAGAGTTAGAATTAAGATTAAAATATAAATTAGCTCAAATAAATTAGATTTTATATATTATAATCTAATAATAATTTATATATATTTACCAATATTAAAGAAGATCCAAAAATATATTTAAAATTTTTAAAATATATATTTAGAGCATTTATTTTGGTGCACCCCGCACATAGTGCGGGGTCACATATATATACATATAGTTACACAATTTTCAAATTGTGTAATATTGATATATAACAAATAAATTTTGTTAAACTTCGAAACAGAGATATTGCAAGTCAATTATATGATAGATGATCTGCATGTCGACTAATAAATTTACTAAACTATAATTTACGATTAGACGTCAAAAATGCTTATTTCTTAAAAATCAGCAATCCTAATATAAATAAATTTATTTATACATATATGTAGTTGCAATTTTAAGACCACTATATAATGAACATTTTTAAAACATAGCAATGTAGCAAATGATAACCTAGCTCTAACCCAAATAATTTACCCTTACATTGCCACTAAATCTGATCTTTGTCTAATAATTATACCACCTATGATTATCTAAGCTAACTTCATATAATCTCACTCTAATGTCTAAACCTAGCTAACTATCCATTAATTTTATTCTAATCTACTATTAAACCTTGCCAAATTAGTATTTGAAATTAAACATCTTGCATATATTAGTTATCAATTTTAGGCGGGTGTAACTTCAGTTAACTAAGTTGCAACCTTAATCAGGTATCAACTTTAGTCACAACATTTCTGAAGAATTGATACGATAAAGACGTTAACAAGCAAAAGCCACACACTGGCAAAATGTAATCTACAGCAGAAAAGCGAAGACAGTTATAAATAATGACACAATATACCATGATGATACTATGAATAACAACTTCAAGGAACAACAGCTTCAATGAATAATGGCTTCAAAAAACGATGGACTAACTAACTACAGCTCTAGAAAACAATGTTTCAACAAAATGACAGCTCTAACAAAACAGCTCTAATAAAATGATAGCACTAATAAAACGATAGCTTCAACAAAACGACAGCTCCAGTGAATAACAATTCTAGCAAAATAGTAGCACCATACAACACTACAAAACAAAGGTTAAAGTGTTGGTTAGTATTGTAATAAAAATAAATAAATAAAAAACTTATCTGTATATAGTGTTGATCTATATAAACTAGTGTTCGAATAAGTCAGCACGGATCGGATTCGGATTTGTGCAGATTCAAACTATCAGATTAGGTTTGGCCCCTGAAACATTGGATTGGGCCCAGATTGAGTGGGATTGAGCCTAATTTTAGGTCATGTCTTTATATAATCACTCTATGTGATAAATTCGAATTTGTCATGTGATAAATTCGAATATATCACATCTTGTATCACAATATAAGTGCCAAATTCGAATTTATCACTTATATTGTGACAAATATATGTGACAAACCGTCGGATTGGCACAGATTACTCCCGGATTCAATTCAAATTACAGATTCAGATCAGATTCGGATCAATCCTGGATTAACTAGGATTTTTAATCTGTTTTTGAATACTAATATAAACTGCAATGTCACAACCCACTAAGATTGAATATGTCAATATTTATATAGTTAAAATTATCTGCAAAACAAGTATTATATGTCTTTTATAGATTTGTGTCAAAATTACAACAAGCGAAATCCTGATAGGTCATAATTCTGACATCCTGACAATTAAAAATTTAATAAAAAACATATCATAAACTATAGCTAAGCGAGCCTAACCCTCATATAAAGTGATCTAACTCTAAAGTTAATTAAATTATAAGAGTCTACTTCACTTTAAACATATCTTATATTTTAGATTTCTACCTGATTGTCAGGATTTTTAATCATGATTTTTTTGTCAGGATTGTGCTTGTCAGAATTTTGACTAGCACATGTCTTTTATATATTTGCATAATATAAATAACGTTGGCCAAAAATTTCATAAAGCTGTCACCTAAAGTCTAGTAATGTTAGTAAAACGAGTCTCACACGTATAATGATTGATTAGACTTTTTAAACTAACACTTAAACTATTCATATAAACCTACCAACAAAATAATGACTTTGCAGAACAGAGACACCAGTGAAACAATAGATCCAAAATGCGATGACACTAACGAAACAATGACTCCAATGAGTGATGACACCAGAGAAACGACAGCTCCAATAAATGATGATTTCAAAGAAAAGACAGTTTCAAAATGCATCGGACGAACAATGGTACTAGCGAAATACAGTTTATAAAAAAGTAAACTAGTAAAAAAATAAATAAATAAATAAATATAAATATCTTGTAGATTTGTATAACTGAGATGTAAACTAATCGTTTATTGATCAATTACGCATTGATTACTTGTGATGTTGCCATACCCGCACACAGTGCACCCCGCACCAAAAATAATTATCCTATTTATATAATGTATATATATCTAAATTGATATAGTTTTTAATTTAATATATGATAATATCTTGTAAACTATTGATTAGAATTATATAATTTATCTCATCAAGACAATTCTAATTAATAGTTCTTAAAATACTCTATTTAACCAAAATAGCTTAAGACAAATATATCTAATTTTATACAGATAAATATTTATAATAAAAATTATGTGATATATTGATCAGAATCACATAATATTAGTATTATTTGATTTATTTTAATAAGATAAATTGAATGATACTAAAATTTTGTAATTATAATTGATATACTGTATCACATAAAATTTATTATATACATTTACTTATATCAAATTAGACACTATATCAAATTAGGAACAAATTTTTAAAGAACCTTTAATAAATAATATCTTATGATTTAGTAATTAGAATTAGATAGTTTTGGTTCTATTTGATTTGTCTTGATGAAACAAATTGAAAGATACTAAAATCGTTCAGTACTGATTGATATATCATATAATATTTATTAAAAATGTTACTTGCATCAAAATAGGCATACCTACCTTACATATATATTTTTAAATAAATTAAATTTTAATAATTTTTTGTAAAAATTTACATATAAAATTTGATATATTATCTTATTTAACTTACAAGTAACAGCAAATATTAGAACATGTTTTGTGACTAGAATACGAGTTTAAAGGATTTATTTTATTATAAATGTTGAATAGAAATCGTAAAAGATCTTTTATTTATTTGAAAAATCTGCAAGCATAAAAGATTTTTATGCGAATTACAACTTATGCCATTGCCATCAGAGTGGAACAAGAATTGAAAAGAATGGCCAAAAAGTATTTATTTAATATCAAAGTTAGCAGAGATAAATGATTCTAATAGATTACTTGTACTTGATAATTGCTACCTAAAAGGAATTGGAGTCAAATAAAATGAATATAAGGCATTCATTTATTTTAAAAATCCGCTAATCTTGGAAATTTTTATGTGATGAGATTGCTTGCAAGTTGTTATTATACTGGAGTAGAGGTAACAAAAGATTAATATAATGTAATTGTTTACTATCAAAAATATAGAAGTAAAAATTCGCAAATGAAAAAATATATCTATTAAAATGGATACTTACACAAGATAATTATACTCAAAAAAGAGTTGAAAAAGATAAACTAAAGCCATTTGATAATATGCAGACAAAATTCATAATGATGGTATTCGTTATGAAAATAGAATCGGAGTTGAGAAGGATAAACTAAAGTCATTTGATGATCAAAATCATGCAGACAAAATTTATAATGATGCCATTCGTTATGAAAATGGAATTGGTGTTGAAAAGGATGAATATAAAACATTTATTCAATATGTAAAATTCACAGGAATGGGTGATTCTTATAGGAGATGTAAAGTTAGTGAATGTTATCATAAACGCATAGGTATCGAAAAAGAAAATCGCAAAGCTTTCATACATTGCAGAAAAGCTGCCGATATGGGTAATTCATCTGAGACATATAATATTGGTTATTATTCCTCTGAAGGAATTGTAGTCGAATACAAAGCATTTTTTAATTATAAAAAATTTGTTGACATGGGTTTGTAGATGGAACATATAATATTAAACATTGTTATTTTTAGTGGAATTGGAGTTGAAAAAGACTGGGTCAAAGCATTCAAATATTATCAATGATATGTAAACTTGGGTGATGCTGAAGGAATGTTTTCACTTAGATATTGTTATGAAAATGGAATTGGAATTAATAGATGAAGATGAGGCACTTAGATATTATAAAAAGTCTGCAGACAAAAAATGCGCTCGTGGAACCCTGAATTGTAGAGTTTGTTATATTAATAGAGTTGGAGTTGGAAGAGATATAACTAAGGGATGTTCTTTTTTGCTGAAATCTGCCAAGATGGATACTGTTGACGCATTTCTTATATAGCTTATTGTTACTGAAATGGATTGGAACATTAAGAAATCTAAAAGAAGCAAATTATTGGTATAAAAGAATTATTATTATTATTATTATTATTATTATTATTATTATTATGAAAATAACTACATTTAACCGGGGTAAATTCTCTCCCCTTAATTATTATTAAAATTTAAGATTAGGGTGTAATTTTGGACGAAGCTTAAGATCAGATATCAGAGCTCCAATTTTAGTTAGTATAAAGTTTTGGGGTTATGAACATTTTACTTAGTACCTTTGAGGTGTGTAGCTAGTACGTTTTGAGATATAGCATCCGGTGACCTTTCTCCCCGGTGAAAATTAGCAATGCCCTATTATTATTATTAATGTATTCTTTGAAAAATGGAGAAAAAGATTATCTTTCAGGTAATTAACTCTTTAAGTCTTTTCAATTATATATTCAAACTAATAAATTATAATAATTATGATATCGATGACGATTTAAAAAAGATGTTTGAACTTAAATATCCATTATTATAGATTCCTTATAACGAATTATAAAATATCAAAGAAATTGTACGAAGTGGATTTGCGACAGTGTATCTTGCTTAATATTGGAATGAGAAAATAACGCTAGAAACGTTAACAATTATGTTCACTTTAATTAATTCATAAATCTGATAATTCTCAAAGTGAATTTATTAGAGAAGTATTTTTATTTTTTAGCAAGTATATATGTTGTATAATTAAAAGTTATGTATTAATAGTTTTTGACTTTACGCTGTAGGTTGAAAACGTATTGTGATATTGGTTATAATAATCTTACGTTTTTAGAGTGTTGTGAAATATAAAAAAATCATGTAATACAAATGGAATGGAAAGATAAATTAACATTACCGCACAGTATTTCTTCTGAGATTGAAACAATTCACACTCGAGGTTTTGTTCATCGAGATTTGCATAGTGAAGTTTGTGAATTTTGCCTCAAATCGCGCCAGAAGTTTAATCAGAAATCTATATGCTACGAAATCGATATTTATGCGTTAGGCATAGTCTTGTATGGGATGATTGTATTTTGTGAAGAATATGATATGAGGAAATTATTGTGTGGAATGATTGTATTTTGTGAAGAATATGATATGAGGAAATTATTGTGTGTATTTTGTGAAGAATATGATATGAGAAAATTATCGACTATTTGTTAATAAAGAAAGCTCCGCATTGTGACGTGACAATGTTGGGATAAAGATCCAGAAAAATGACCATCAGCTGCAAAACTTTGTGAAATTTTCGAAAATGGCAAAGTGACGAAAAATCTTAAAGAATTGAACGAATCCAAAACAGTACTTGAACATGGTTAACAAGCAGATAAACGAACAGATAAATATACTAAAAGTTTGAGCAAATCTTTTCCTTGTATTGGTTCAAATGAATCTAAGCGAGATCAATCTTTAATTGTTAGTTTAGCAGTTATGAAATATACAAATAGGGTTGTATTATAGTAAAAATTATAATAAAAATTCTAATAAAAATTATAATAAAAATATATACAAACTTTAAGCCCATACTATTTCCACTCATTATGCGACCTAATAGATCAAAAACAGTAAATCGTTATTTTTGTCATATAAAAATAATAATCTTAAAGAACTTTACAATAGAGTGCATGGCACTAGGTGGTTTGGATTCAGAAGTTCGATTGACGTTCCTATAATGCGATAATGCTGTAAATCTCTGTAAATTGTAATACTGTTATAACTCGAACTTGGATTTTATTGTGATTATGCGTTAATAAAATTTTGCAAACCGCAATAATTAATTAATTAGTTAGTAATTAATTGATTAATTGCAACTAATCGTTCAATCGGTTAATCGATTAATTGGTCTCTAAAAAGTTTAATCAATTAGTTATCAACTAATCAACTAATCGATTTTTTCAACTTTCGATCTGTAGCACTGCTTATCTGAATGGATAAAGGGATCCATCTCTAACTAGAGATGTGCATTTATTGAATCTACTGCACGGGCTTCGCGGCCTTAACAGCCGATTAAAGCTGGCTTGAATTATAACAATTACACTGCGCAACCTCTCAAAATCCTCATCCCTAACAGATGCATTGGTTTACACCCAATTATGGTACATACATACATAGTGATGCTACTATCGTGGGAATTCATATACGGTGATTTATGGTACGTACGTCACATTTGATATTGATATTGCAGTATTGTAAGTAATAGTTATCCGTCAGATTACTATGATCGGGCTGCCAAATAATTTGGGTTATTTGGCAGAAAAAAAGTTTATTTTGGTTATT